ATAGATGATAGTTGCAATCACAATTATTTAACAAATTTTTTCTCTTTTTGGTAGTATTCACACTACTGGCTTTGGCTCGCAGGAAACCATTACACGCAGGAAACCATTACAATAAAATTGATACAAATAATAGAAGAAATTATCAACACCGATCACCACCTAAAAAACTGAAAGTGCGCGACCTTACTACAAATTTGCTACACTGCAGCGAAAGTCTGAAAAGCAAAAAATTCAAAAATCTGTAACAAATTTTAGGATTGAGGAAAGCAGCCGAATAAGCCTTTGTAATCGCTATACAATTGTTCGAGAATCTCCCTATGAAAAACTCGGATGACAATTACGTTTTTTTACACCACCTATACAAGTAGACACTTGCAAATACACAATAGAATCATTTTTATGTCATAATAGAACCATAAAAGAAACTCGGGGTACTTTCGCTTATACGGATTTTAACAAGGTATTCGCTAAGAAAGTGAATTGCTTGGCTGAATTTGAATCTACATAAACGGTGCAAAAAATATAGTCGTTTTTTTATTGGTAGCTGTATTACAAGGCGTACAACAATATTATTTCTACAGATTTATTTTACTTGTACGCTCGCAAATACTGGACGTTGCATAATATACGTGAAACGATGAGGCTGTGTATCGAAACAAAGTAAAAATTTTGGAAATTATTCCCTTTCGAGTGCGTCTTGGGAATTACGTAAATGACACCGATATATTGATACATCTTAGACTTTCACATCGGCGGTTTCGATCCGGTTTTCTTCCATTATCCTTCCAAGATTCACTTGCAATAAAACGCATTCTAGAAAGTTCAGCAAAATTCCCAATTTTTTAGACGGTAGAATAAGCTACTTTTAATTCGCATGATAGGCTTTGCGCAAGTATGCGAACTTACGTAATTCGTCTTCATTTCCTATTTGATAATCGAGTTGTACCAGGAATTTGGAGGAGAAAGCTTGTTCCGCGAATTTTTTGGTGACTTCCACGATCCACGTGCCTTCGAGGAATGACGGGCCAAGTTAGCCGAAGGGCAGGCGCCGCTCGTGTGCACCTCTTAGAAAATTAATTATAGGGTTTAGGCTATGTAACCCACACCTTTACACTTGCGCTTATAATTTCTCAAACGTACAATTGGTTTAAAATGGTTGCAGATCTTGGAATCCTCTTAAAAGGTTTTTCATTTTCCTTCAACTGCACGTCTTTAATTAGACTTTACAGCTGGGTTTTTAAACTACACTAAATTTGTTTGAAGTTGAAAGTAGTATGAGTATTCTCAGTATGATTTTTCTAACAGTACATTATGCACCCAAAACGAAAGCAAACCATTAAAATAGGTCATAGTAACTGTCGGAAACCTCTACAGCTGTGGCGTGTCCATTGGAGCAATCACTCCCGGAGATTCAACTAGCCTGTTCGTTAGAAGTTTTTAAAATTGCAGTTGAAATAGAAACTTGAAATTTGGTTCACAGCCATAATCTACCATTGCGAATTGAAATAAAATAATTTCAAAATGGCGGTGCTTCCGTAAATGGCGGAAGTTAGCGCCATTTTGGTTTTGTTTTAAATAGAAACATGCCATTTTCTATTTTTTCTAAATCTATCTGTCATAGTTTTTGACATGTAAATTTTTCTAAAATTTGTTCTTCACATTTCGGTTTCTCAAGTTTCTATTTCAACTTTTTATTATACCATGATTTCAACTTCAATACTTGGGTGGACACATTTTACAACTCATGTTGAAAAGCGCTATTGCAACCACTTTCTCTGTCCGTCCGTCTGTCTGAGGTCTTAACTACTACTATACTTTTCAAGATATTTAGTTCGCTCTTTTTGCATTAGGTATCTTATAGCTCTGGCACCGGAAATGAGAATTTGCGACACTTGCGCATACGCGATTCCGCCCAAAAACTTTTCAGTTCTTCCTTTTGTGTCTGGAGAATATGTGTACCAAGTTTGGTTCCAATCGGTCCAGCCGCTTAGCCGGAAATGATAGTACAGACGGACCAACAGACAGAAATCGTCGAGATTTTGTTTGATTCGGATTCCTGGTGCTTCAAAACGTGTATTTCCATAAAAAAAAGTGGGGGGTCATTTTTATCCCAATGCAATGCCAACTTTATAGGAAATTTAACTATAAATGCTTCTTGTAAAGAAAACCTTAGCTATGGCTTTTGGCAAGTACTGTTCAATGCATGGAAAATGCGCGAAAGTTACTCGCCTTAGGGGACAAACTTTTTATTGTTTAATTCGAAAGGGCGCATTTAATGGTGATGTGAATAGCGTTCTTTTTCTACTAAGATTGTGAAACATTGCCGTCGACAAAGGTGGCACGTTGCGCCGCGCTAAAAATATATACATTTTTCCAGCAGGGATTAAAGTCGAATAAATTTAATTTACACTTGCAGTGCTTCCAGGTTGTAAAATCCATCCACCCACAATTCACAATATTAAATGGCAACACCCAACTTATTTGCGATACTATGAGATATCTTTTTTTGCCATTCAGTTTGAGCGGCGTCTCCAACCTTTTTACGCAGCCTTTATCTGTTTCCATAGCCCAACTTTTTCGGCATTCCCTGATTTTCTCGATTTCCTCGGTCTTCCCGACTTCCACGGCATCCACAGTTTTCTTTCTCCTACTACTTTCTCCTCTTTACCTTCGATACTTACGATTTCTTCGACCTCCTTCGCATCCCTGACGTCCTCGGTTTCTTCTGTTTCTTCATCGTCTCCGGATTAATTTTTTTATTTTTTCAGTTTCTTTTTCTTATTTGGTTTCTTATGCATATTTTGACTCTTTTAAGTATCTTCTCATCTGTCATGTTTTATGCATTGTTACAGGGAATTTAAAGACAATTAATCGGTGCATTTTTCCTGCAACAAGACCTACTTACTTAATAAGTTGGGCAAAATTAATATCGATATAGAGGAACATTGGCATTTTATTGCTGTGCATAATCACGATCTCGAGTATTACTTTCGCGAAATTGAAGCCGGTTTGCTAGACATTTTTGTTTTGCATTCTACACCGAGTCAACTATAGAATGGAAGCGGTCTGTTTCCATATGGAGAAATAAGGTCAGTTATTACCAGAAGAGAATATTACCCACGCCAATAACTAAATTATTTTAGATTTTTTGATTTATATAAAGTAGTGGTCGGTATTTTTAGGAATTTGCATTAGAAATTTTGTTTGAAGTAATTATAATATTCTTAAAGGAATCGACCCGTGAAAATGAAAATGAAAAAAGGATTTGGTGATTTTGCTTGATTGATTGGAATTTTGCATTTAATTTCAGTAATGCTCGTCCTTTGGTTGGCATTCAGAGATGTGCCGTGTCGTAGAGGTTCAATTTTATTTTATTAAAGTGGGGTCTTCAACCCTTGTAAATGTATCTAGGTAGTTACATTATTATTTGTCTGTTTCAGTTTTCTTTCATTTGTTGGGGCCCAACAGTAACTTACATTTTTCTCTAACAAATCTTTCAAACTAAAATCGTCACTTTAGGGAGTCAAATGGCTAGGAGCAAGTTCCTAAGTAGCACTGTTACTGCTTAGAACTGTCGCGTTATCTTCCCTTAACTTTTTGTGGATGCTTGTGGATGGTGTCACCCTGCCGGAGTGTTGCGAGAAAGTTGTGATGGCTCGCATGGATATGGGTCGTGGAATTTTGATTGGCAAGGTGGTAGTAAATGCTAAACAACTATTTCCTATTCTGAAAACTCTTACCAAGGTTATCACCGAAAACATCTTAAGTTAGTTGGAAACTTTGCCGGAAAACTAGTTCAAACACTAATGGCCGTTTGCACCAGCTAATTTACGTGGAGCTTAGCTTAAAATCCATGGCAACGATTATTGAGACAATGGTTGCCATGGATTTTAAGCTACGCTTAAGCTAAGCTCCGCTTAAATTTGTCGGTGCAAACGGCCATAAATAGCAATAACGAAGCACTAAAAAAATTGCAAAACAATCAAAAAATTAGGGCTTTAAACGTTTCTATGACTGTGAGGAGATTTAATGACTTGCAAACTGAAGAAGAGTAAAGAATGCACTATAGGAACAGTACCCATCACAGTTCAAAATTCGAATAACCCGGTTAAAACCCCTGAAGCGGTACGATTTTTGGGACCTTATGGTGTGTTGAATACTTAGAGCATGTGCACAAAGAAATCAAAAGAAGTTCACGATTTATTTATTGTTTGGCTAATTTTCCTGCACTAACTTAAAGTTTGAGGACTTCCCAGATACTTATTGCTGGGTTTAACGTGTGGCAATCGGAAAAGAAAAATTAATGTTTCAAAGATTAAATCGGGTAGTTTGATCCCTTTTAGTGCTTTAGTCAAGGCGCACAAAGAATAACAATTTCTGATGTTACAATGCAAGTTACCTATTTCATTTAAATGCAAATAATTATGCTTAATTAAAGTGAAACGAAAATGTTGAAATATGCTCATTTGCTGATGTGAAATTCAAAAAAAATTATTGGTATTCGGTTTTGAATGCGAAACTGTTTCCTTCTGGTAAAACTAGACTTAACTGTTCATCAATCGGTACTTTAGCAATAAAAGTTAGATCTGTTGAGATTATACGTCAATTAAAAGTTACTACGAAATTTCAACGAAATCGCCGTTTCTACAGTTGTTGCTTCTTTTTAAACAAAACGGTAACAATCACACTTACATGAGGTAATCTCTTGAATTTCATCAAGGCAATTATGAAACACCCGGTAGTTTGTACCTTTTTGAAGGTGACTACAAGCGAATATTTTAATATTATATAATTTCCGTAAGGACGCCTTAAATATTCGCTTCCAAAGAATGCGCGCTTGTTACGCTTCTACTTGAACGCGTTATTTTTATTATTTAAATAAATTAGTCCGGTAACCGCGTACCGTTTCATAAATTTTTTCACGCTTATAAATTAATTCCACTTTGAGAGAAAGTTATTGGTTTAATTTACAGTCTTAAGCAATTTAAATTGTTACGTACCCTTTTCATAATTTTCCGTTAATGGGGGTAGCGTTTTAGTAATCCTTTAAAAATTGGTCACTACGACATAATTATCACTTGCACACTGAAATTTAGTGTTCAATAAAGCTCGCACATCTTTCACCGTACGCGCGCCAGTTGATGATAGTGGTGCAAGATTTCACTTCTTGTAAATCTTCCAAGTTATTGAAGAGACCGTAACGTACTGCGAGAGGACCACTGATAGATACTTTCTGTATGGGCAGTACAAACAGTTCGCTGCCCCACTTGCTACTTTACGTTTATTTATCCTTCCTTATTACAACTACTTGACGCAAACCGTCTATTATAAACTGTCGATAGCCCAGAAAAATGATTTGGCATCGCACTGTTAACAGTAAATTTATGACGCGGCACGTCTTGTTTATTCACAATAATTATGTAAATAAATATAGGTGGAATGAGAGCATCTTTAAGTGTGACTACTTACAACATCCTTGCCAGGGTCAGGTGCTTAAAGAATCTTGCTTGATTTACCTGCGGTTTCCTACATAGTTATGGTCAATCCATCAACCGACCTGACACAACGGCCATCAGTCAGTGGCGCATCTCAACCAACAATGCCATACAAAACCAAAGTTGTGGAATTTTTGGTGAACACGTTTCACAAATGTTTGCTATTCTACGTTGTATGATTTTTTGTGTGTTTTTGAATTGTATCCTGTAGTTTATTCTATGGGAATATCTTCCACGTTCACCAGACCAGACTGAAATTACCATTGTTTTAAATTTGATTTGCCTCTCTACTCAACTAAAATACAATTCTCGTCATGAAACCTTCATTTTCGTGCGTTCTTTTCGTCACGAAATTTTAGTTTCCATGACAGTGGCAGTGACAACACTTTCCCCGACTACTTTTCCGCCTTCCCGTCACTTTACCATACTCCTGTCAAAAACGACACATGCAGAACTCGTCAGTAAAGTGACACTACTTGACTCGGAAATCAAAGTAGCTACTCGGGGGGCCTCGTGTTTCAATATTTCATCGTTAGTAATGTGTCATTTTCCTGACTATTTCGCAACCACCAAAACCATCCATTTCGTTTATATTAGGAACCATAAACGTAAACAGCCTCTATTTTATACGCATTGTATTGTTTTAAATTTATTTATCGTATCTACTACACCTCACGCAAAAACATAAACTGTGTATACTAAATCTAAGTATTACCTGCTTCCTACATTTTTAATTAACGCAATTCCCAAAGCCAAAATCTAAAATGATTGTTTTTCACTCAATTTCCTTGCTTAACACGTGTACAACGCTATTTATTAAGCCTTGACCGTTATTAACGTTACACATTTAGCTGTTTAGTTACCTAAGAATTCGTTTTACCACAAAGTTGAGCAAGCGATTTTTTTATTTCAATATCATTTCCCATAATCTTCGTCTACAATTAACTTATTGTTAGAGAGCTGGATAAGATCCGCAACGAATGAGTTCACAATTGAGGAACTGCAATTTAAAGTCAGCGTGCACCTTTGACAAAACACACTATGCATTCCCATTTCTTGGCTTAAAATTTTCTTTACTTAATAAAATGGAATCATCTCGGAAGCTTTTTGAGTTCAAGAACAGATTCAGAGTAATAGTTTGTGATATTGTAGTCACGTTCCATATCCGTCTGTCGGTCCGTGCTCCAACAGTTTTGGAGTGGTGTCACCTGAAAAATGTCAAAATCGATATTGCAGGGGTTTATTTTGGAATACTCCAGAAGTAAATTGTTAGCATGCTTGATAAAGAGAAATTAAAATCGTTACCTATGTCACAATTTCGGTGGAGATCTTTTTTTCATGTTTTCGCTACCTTAAAAATTCATTTAGCAATCAGAATTTATCACTTATCATTGATGTATTGCAGCAAACATACGATTTTGGCTAGTGAAGTATGATAAAATCATTTGGAGTTGTTCTGAAAACGATTCAACGTTTAGGGTTACTCGTTATCATGTAATGACAGCTTTTTATTTGCATTTAAATTTTTTCCAAATTTCGTTGTAGAGCAATTTATTAATGCGTTGTTTATTTTCTATGAGGCTTTGTTTCTTAATGGGATTCGGAAATCTTTCGAAGCTAGATGTCTGCCCTTTGTGTCATATTTCGTTTTCTTAATTAGTACCACTTAGTTACACCTACAAAGGCAGTAAGAGATAATTCTCTGGACCATAAGAAGTAAGATTCATTAAACATTAGGTGGGCTGCTTAAGTACGGCCCAAAAACTCATTCATTTCGGTGGAATTTCCAATAAGATTTCTCATTGAGAAAACATGGTGGACGTAATTACTACACGTGATATAAAAAAGAGGCAGTGGAGTGGGGATTAGACAGAGAAAAAAAAATTAAGATTCGCGATATAGCAATCGAAGCGACCAGTGTCCAGTATAGGTCCATAACAGAAATTTTCGAATTTTGGGTAGTGTAAATCGAGCTTCTTCGAATTTCAACACCTTTATTTACAAGAATATTCATTTCATGAGGTTAGTCTTATCTCTTTTTATTCATGTCAAATTATAAAACTAGTGTCTTAATTAATCAATAATGCTAACTTTAATAGAAGAAACACCTCAAATAAAATTAAATTGGTACGTTCTTAACAAATTTAACCTAAAGAATAAGTTTAGCCTTCTGCATCATACGTAGTTGAATATTTATGAACCTCGTGAAATTAAATTGGATGTAAAAAAGGCAGTTTTGTTCAAAATTTTATTAAAGAACCTCTCCAAATTCATGGGTTCATTGTAATTATTTTTAAGGTAAATTGTGAATGATAACGTTTTTTGTAGGTATATTGCTGTGGCACTGAACCTTCGGGCCACATACAAAAAAATAAATGCAATGCCCACGTTGGACGAGCAAATAAATAAAGCTGTGTGCAATTGCCAGGCCAAAAATGAACCATACACAAAACACCTCAAATCTAACTGACTCCCAAACACATTCGAATCTGGGCACAATACAAAAATTTTAAATTTAACTTTAAACTCCAAATTCCAAAGCAAACAATGTCCACGATCGAATTTCTTAAATACGGCTTTATCGTATGTAAAAACTTTTAGCCTCTTTTTTTTTTAATGTGTATGAATGGATTCTGCACTGCAAAATTAAAATTAGAGGACTACATCTCGGCTTTTGTAATAATAATAATAATGTATATTTCATGGAAATGTAAACAATTACACTCGTCCAAAAAGAAAGGCGGGGCGAAACCAAATTTTTTTTAGCGCATTTGCTATTGCTATTGCAGCCACTTTCTCATTCGTCCTTCTGTTCGTCCGCAAACTGCGCAAAGTGAACTTTCTTGTTTATAGAGACATTTTAGGGGAATTTTTGGAAATAAATTATGTGATGGATTTGTCCGTCCGTCTGTTCCTTCTCCAATCAATTTCTACGAGTTCAAGGATCAGTGCTTTTGAATATGAACCGAATTAAAAGTCGTGTTTCCGAGTTCGAGCTGAGTGTCAAAAAATTGCCCTACTGAAAGTCGTATTCGATTCCTCGTATCTTTTTTTTTTAATTTTAACCGCAGATGCATCTAGTAAAAGCAGACACATCGCATAGTGTAAAAATCAGATGTGCGCATGCTTAAACTTTTTGATTTACGGAAATATTTGTTGAAATTACAAGTGCAACTAGTAGAGACAAACATATCGTATATAGTATACATTTTTATTTTTTTTAATTTGCGCATGCAGCCAACTGTTTAACCATAAAAATGGTTGTGTCTTGCTTGTGTCCATATAGCATTTCGGCGAACTGCGTCTTCAAGAAAATACCTAGCGAAAACTGCTGGAGATTTAGCGTAAACTCTTTAGCCGTCACGAAAACTAACAACTAGCAGCAGCCGCTTCTTTACGTTGATGTCAGTATTTTTAAGGCTGATCCAAAAGCCACGTCACGATCACATTTTTACCGTAAATTGTGTTTACAAAGAAGTCTAATTACTTAGCCATTTATGAATATATTGAAATTGTTTGCCACCAATGTATAAACATAGCATGGTTCTAAGTTTGTATGACATTTTTCAAAATCGGTTTAGACTTTGGTGTAAATTTGTGTTGAAAGACACCAACATTTTACAATCAAATACACAAATCTAAATAAATAACTTACAAAAGCGATAAAATTTAAATAAGACACACAATTACAAAACATTAAAACAACACTGAGACACAAATTCAAATACCATAAACTAACTTTGTGGTTATTCGTAAATAATCCTCCAGATTTGCACTTAATAAATTTAAATATTCTCATGTACCTACAGGGTGTGCCGTCTACATGACCTTGTTTACACAACAATATATTTCAATGAAGTTCGGCACTTTTGATCAGAACCATAATTTTAGGAGTCTTTAATGTAAACCTTGTCGTTTTGTCACAAATCTAAAGTTCTATATCTAAAGTGGAAAGTAAGCAACGTTCTGTATTTATGCCAATTAGGTAGTGAGTTCAAATGAACGCAAAAGCTGCTTTTCGAATCTAGTTCAGGTAAAAGAGTCTGAAATAAAGTTAACTATTTGTTAATAGTTTACAGAATTTGGTTAAATGTGAAATTCAGTTCAGATCACCGCGTATTAAACATTAAAAGTCGAGAAATTTAACCCCTATCCCAAAAAGCTTTTCAAATGAACTCATCTCATAAATTTCGCTCACAAAAGCTTCCGTCCACTAGGTTTGAGCGCGAACTGCGAGATTTAAGTTCATTACCTTCACATAAATTTGTGTGTTTGAATTGTCAGTTGAAGCTATATACTGAAACGTTGAAATTAAAACTAAAACTTGCAAGTGAAATTATGACCCATTGCATTCTCCTCAATTAAGTTGAGGAGAATTTTCTTGGGGGCCAATTTTCCACAGGTGGGTGCCGTAACCGAAATTACATAGACGACCTGAATATTCCAAAGGGAGGGATTTTCCGAGCACGAATATAGTTTGCGCGAGAATGTATCAGGAAGCCAATTACTTGGAGGAATACTCAAGGAAGTACTTCAATTTTGCGCCCATCTTGTTCTTACGAGGATTGTCGCTCAAAATCTATTTTAGTGAAAATCTTAAGGTAATCCGTTGGATTTATCACGTACAGTTCTTTAGGCACTACATGTTTCTGCGGTATTGATTGGGATTATTTAGATGTTATAGAACATATAGGTAGATCTTAATTATTTAGGTTTTTGAAATATTAAAAAGAACCACGAAACTCAAAAACTTAAAAATCTCAACGGAACCAGAAATGGAGAACTGCAGCACATAGATCTTAATTAGTTAGATTGGGCGATAATGGCAATTACTCTCTAATGAAAAAAAAAGATAAAAAGTAGGTATAGTTCAAATATGTTCTCGAAATGGGAGATCTCAATGCTTTAAAAAAAGGTTGGCTTACTTTTTAAAAAGTTAGGGTTGTTTTTTGTTTTGAACAAAATCGTAGTAATTAGTTCGTTAAAATGTGGTCAGAATCGTCAATATTAATATTAATCTTTTTTTACAGATTTCGTGTGGATGTCTTCTCGACAACATAACATTGGTAAGTCACGAATAATCATTACTTGTTCATTTATGGTTGTTTGATATTGGGACAGACGAAAAAGAAACCATGTAACCCGATATAAGTTCACACAGTATAGTCTACAAACGTTAAATTTTTATATAATTGATCATTGCTATGTGATATGTTGAATGATGTTGACAGCCAAATCTGAATCTGAAATTACTAGGAAAAGAATGTACTATACAATTTTATAACTAGTGATGTAACTTGATTTCCATTCTTCACCCTTCACTTCACATTGACTTATTTAATATAAAACGCAGTAAACAGGGTGTCACTATTCCCAATTTTCAGAAATAACCATTTTTTAGTAATAAACTAATTTTCGGATATTTCTCGTTGTCAAGCAACCTAAGCGACACAATTAATGCCCTCTGTTATTTCTAAAAAATATTCTGTAACACCCTGTAGATGGTAATGTGATAATATATTATGCTTCTCTGCTCACTCATATCTTTATTCAAATCTAAATGGTAGTGACATTGACATTGACTACAAGGTAAAGAATTAATACAAGTACATTGTTGCGATTTGATCTCTTTCAGACAGAACCCGAACAAGTATTTTAAGGTTCCATGAGCAGTAGGTGAAAGGCGTTGCTTTGTGAGTTTACGGAAGTAAAAACAAGTCATAAATTTGCATCTTTCTTTTCATCGCAATTAACTAATTGCATAAATTTAAACAGATATTATGGTAATAGTAACGGAGCAGCTAACTTACCTACTATTACACTTCACATAAAAAGTGCATAAACTTTCGCTTTTTTCCAACCTTTTAAATGAGAATCGCTTGATATTAAACTATTAAGCCCCTAAGTGGCGGTCGCCTTTTAACTAAATTAGGTACTTGCAACTTTCGCGAAAATTTATTAAAAGTACCGCCATTTACACAAACAATAATAACGTGGCCCATTTTAATTTTTCATGTGATTTGTACAAGTCTGGGCGTTAATTTAAAACGACTGGAAACAGTGACTTTCCATTATTCCTTCCTGTATCCGAACATTTTGGACGGTTAATTCACTTTTTAGCGCATTTCCACAAAAATAAAAAAAAATGCGCTATTGTGGCCACTTTGTCCGTCCGTCCGTCCTCTCGTTTTGCGACGCTACTAGTTCTTTATCTTAAGAGCTATTGTTCTACTTTTTTCGCTATTTGGTTCGTTATGGTGTCGAGTCTTGCACCAAGGAAGGAATTTTTTCTGTACCGCTTACAAAAAAAAGTTCAAGCTCTCTCTCAAAGGTTCTCTTCAATTTCCCTTCAATTGTCTCCTAAGTTTCTATCCATTTTTAGCGCATTTCCACAAAAATAAAAAAAAATGCGCTATTGTGGCCACTTTGTCCGTCCGTCCGTCCGTCCGCTAACTTTGCGACGCTACTAGTTTTTTATCTTAAGAGCTATTGTTCTACTTTTTTCGCTATTTGGTTCGTTATGGTGTCGAGTCTTGTACCAAGGAAGGAATTTTTTCTGTACCGCTTACAAAAAAAGTTATTGTAAAAAAAACAAAAAACCGTTTTTTACATGTTCCATAATTTTACACTTTTGCCGTTTATTAACGATCCTAGAGATCGTTTATAATTTTGCATTGCTATCTGTCGTCTGCCTGTTGGTCTCTCCGTCTGTTCCTTTGTCTGTCTGTCCCTCTATCTGTCCGTGTGAACGATAACTTTGTTTAGAAATGTTCGATCGCTTTTACATCTCCGTTAGTTATGAACTGAATTGCATGAAATTCAATATGGCATAGCTTTAGCCATATAATACGCAATGCCAAAAGTTGAATCGAATCGATTCAAAATTCACAGTGCCCTTTTCGCATCTCGACCATTTATAAACCGAATTGCAAACTTTTTAACTTATAAAAGTATTTGAATGAAATTTGATACATAGCCACTTGGAATAAATGAAAATCAAACGCCAGTTTCAAAATTTGGTTTTGCGCATGCGCAGTGCCAACTTTTTTATTTATGGAAGAATTTAAGCGAAATTTGATACATAGGCGCATGGAATAAAGGAAAATCTAACGCCAGTTTCAAAATTTGGTTTCGCGCATGCGCACTGTCAATTTTTTTATTTATGGAAGCATTTAAATGAAATTTGATACATAGGTGCTTGGAATAAAGGAAAATCTAGCGCCAGTTTCAAAATTTTATTTTGCGCATGCGCAGTGCCAACTTTTTTATATATGGAAGCATTTAAGTGAAATTTGATATTTAGGCGCTTGGAACAAAGGAAAATCTAACATTAGTTTCAAAATTTAGGTTTGCGCATGCGCAATTCCAACTTTCTTATTTAGAAAAGCATTGAAATGAAATTCTTCTCATAAACTGAACTTGAAGTAGCCCGTCAAAAATGGATTGCCCATGTGCAATTATCTTTCATATTTGTGGTCGGATTTTTACGATTTTAACAGAAGTTGCATCTTACAAATGGGAAATGAATGCAAGTGGAAATGCGCTTTATGTAAATCGTTTACGATTACTTTTTAACTTGTTAATTATAGCCACAAATAAATTGTTTTACGATCTGTTGTAGTTTTTCTCTAACCTTAGTCAATTTCGAATTTATAGTAGTCGTTTGGCCAACTTTGTCACTGCCATAATTAAAATTAAATGAATATTTTTAACGTACAAATGCATATAGTACATGAGCAGAATTCTCTTTCGGTATTACGTACAGAATAACACAACGAAGAAGACAATTTGTCTCTTTTCTTGGTCAATTTTTGTTGTTAAGGTTATATTATTTGTAACACAAGCTTACTTTTTTTTAAAAAAAGCAGATCCAACAAGTTTAATTAACATGAAAATCTACGACCACTAATTTCTCTAGATTACATTGTAGTTGGGATTTTAAAAAAAATTTCTGTGGCTAGCACAGATACCACCCGCCCACCTGCGCGATTCTGCCCTTTTATATCTAAGTTTACCAAATTTGGTTCCAGTCGACTCAGCCGGTTAGTCGGCGACGAATGAGAGTACAGGCGGATCGACAGACCGACATCATCGATATTTTGTTTGATTCGGATTCTCGGTGCTTCAAAACGTGTATTTCCTTCAAAAAAGTGGGGGTCATGTTTTCAATACCTCCCTTACCAACCATTTGAAAAATTTTAAAAATTCTTGAAACTATCTTGGTCAATTAAGGAGATCGACCCACAATAGAAAAGCAATTTCAACGGAACTACATATCTATGCACAATTCGAGTATTCCTTGTGGCTCCTTTAAACATAATTGAGCAAAGAAACAAAAATAGGTATTTAATTACTGCACAAAAATACAGCCCCGGCAATTACAGAACGCGAGTTTCCTTAACAATTCTTTAATAGAGAGGAACTACACTTCTATGTGTAAGTGGAGAATTACAACCCCATCAATAGAAAAGTACTACATCAAAGCGGGGTTAATTTACAAATTTTTTCATTTCAAAACAGATGAAAATCTTTCATACCACCCCACAGGCCACAACACGCCAGTAACAGAGCGAATTCCTTTAAAAATTTCTTCACTTCAACGTTGGGGCGGATTTCGCGAGTAATGTAATCAACCACAAAAGTACAATATATGGTGCGCCATCGTTATTGCAGGTGCCGAAGCAAAATAAAACGTCCTCATGGCGAAATTTACGTAACAATAAGTTGTCAGAATGAGACGATCGTTGCAACCGCCCTTGTTTTCCCCAATATGGTGCTTGTTATCGCCAGACATGTTCGCTATGAAGCGGTGTATGTGTAAACTTTTCTATGTGTAATAAAATACAAGTTCAAGACGGTAAAGTGACCACCTGTTAGACTATGGATGTACGAGTAATGCCGAATTCCTCTAAAAATCACTTAATTCCAAAATGGATAATAAGACGGTTGTTTGGGGATTCATTAAATCAAGAACAAGATGCATTAAAAGAGATACCACCCTCACAATTAAAGATTGGTTTTATGTATTAGACAATTCCTTTAAAAATCACTTAAATTCAAAGCGGGAACGGATTTCATTTTAATTAGGGGGTTGTTTGTGAATCCATTAAATGCAATCCACTACAAAAAAACAATAATATTTAGTGCGCCATAAAGCTACCACTCCCGCAATAGAAGATTAATGTGTCTGTAGTAGCGAAGTCATTTACAAATTACTTAAATCCAAGTCGAGAATGGATATTATTTTTAAGCATATGTAATTAGAGGGTTGTTTGTGAATCCATTAAATGTTGCCAATTACAAAAACAAAAATATTTGATGGACCAATTGAAGATTACTATGTATGTGGTTGTATATTGTGAATGCCTTTATATATTACTTAATCCAAAATCGGGAAGGCTTAATTAAAGGGTTGTTCTTCAGTCCATTAAACGTAATCAAACGCAAAAATCAAAATATGTAATGCACCGCAAATGTTACTATCCCCGCAATTGACAATTTTGTATATGTAATAGCGAGTTCCATTAAGAACTAATTCAATTCAAAATGGGCGACTTCACCTTTAAGCGTAATTAGAGTGGTGTTTGTAAATCCTTTAATGTAATCAATCTCAAAAACAAATATACTCAGTGCAATGAATATCCACTTCATAGTAATCCATCTACATTTTTTTCTTGGTGTTTGATGCTTATGAAATTAGGAGCATATAATTGTGTATGTGTATATGCCCTCCTAAACCTTGAAATGATTAGTTGAAAACTTTTTATAATGCACCACATAAGATACATATGCAATAGCAAATTGGGTAATTTGAAAACAGGAAGGGATTTTATTTTTTACCATAGTTAGAGGGTTGAATACTTTAATTTTAATCTCTGAAACGATAAGAGATTGGGTACCAATTGAATTCGAGAAAAGTTGCATCTTTTAGAGTGGATTTATGATGGAAGTCAATATAATGTCAAATGCTAATTTTAAAGCTATACAAAGAATAATAGTTCACAGCTGCAAAATCATAGGTTACATGAAAACATTCAAAGTGTCATTTCCAAAAGAATATTTAAAT